CAGTCGGCGTCAAGTATGAGCGAATACAAGCCTGGTGTAATGCTTCCATCAGAATGAACATTGTCGATAAAAGATGAAGGACAATACACTCTTTCGTGCGTAGGAACTTCTTGTTCAAAAATACGTAAAAAGTTGTGTAGACACACTGTTGCTGCAACAATTTTCTCTACAGTTTCCACATTAGCTATAATATTATTTCGCAATATTCGCCACCTTGATGATAGAATGCCAAATGCATTTTCTATTGTTCGCCGTGCTCTTGACAACCGATAATTAAAAATTCTTTTCTGAACATCTAAATTCTTTCCAGGATAGGGTCTCAGAATAATATAAGATTTTAACGGAAAAGCTTCATCTCCTACAAAATAATATGGAAACATACTATTTGTATTTGGCAATGGCGAGTCTGCTGGTAACTTTATTGTACCAGATTCCAGTGCTCGTCCAAAGGTTGACTCTTTAAAAACACCTCCATCACTTTGTGAACCAAATGCTCCAATGTCCACAAATGTAAATATGTAATCAGCGTCACAAACAGCCATTAATATAATGCTAAAAGTTTTTTTATAATTAAAATAGGCACTTCCAGATTTATTCGGAACCTGAATAACTATATGTTTCCCATCTATAGCACCACAACAGTTAGGAAGGTTCCACTGTTCATAAAATCTTTTACTCTTGTTTAGTAAATCTTCAGTTGTTGGCGTTTTCAAATAAATTGGAGAAAGAACTTCCCAAATGGCTGCACAAGTTTCACGTACGATTACAGACACTGTTGTTTTTCCTATCAAAAACGACCATGCTACTACCTGCATATTGCAGCCTTGTGCCAGATAACTGAAATAATAATTTATGTCTAATATTATAAATGTTATTGTTTTTGACAGAAAGTTACTATTCTTTACTTTATTATATATAAAACAATAATAATCTATTATAATTTATAATATTTGTATACTTACAATAATGTAATAACAAGTCTGTGTTCAGGACTTATCGTTTGTCGCATGCTGCGTTTCACTAATTTATGTTCAATAAGATTCAGTAAAAAGTAGAAACATTCGGGTGACATTCTTGTGTATTTTAAAAAGTGTTCTTTGTCAACTTTTTTCATATCATAAAATAAATTATGAAAGTGACCTTTGGTTATTCTCTTCCTATTTATTGGACGTACACCCCAATGACGTTTTCTTCTAGATATCTTTGGTGCTGCGTTTGCAGCATAATAAGCTAAACCAAGTATTGTTGCAAACATTGCACACACAATTGCTTCATCTGAATCCATTTTATTAGCATCTATTGCTTCCTGTACAAAATAATATTTTAAATGCACAAGTATTAGTATTTTTCAATTTTGCAAGATATTAAATCTTTTATTGGAAATTTTCAAATCTCCATACTATACAAGGAGTTACAAACATATTTTAAGGACTCATCTTCTACATTTACAGTATTCTTGTAACAAAACATTAAAATATATGTATCTACGGCATTAACCTGATTATCAACGCTTAAAGGTTATTTTTTCTTTTGACTTGTTTATTTCATGTATTCGGTGTTGTAAGCTCTTATAATATAGATGTGTTTATACAATGGGAGTTTTATTTGTTATCTAACAAGAGCTATTTTCACTAAATATCTGTGATCAAGATTTAAAAATTTTTTCGTGCTAGATATGTCGCAGCAAGTAAAAGCATTGTTATTTATATATATTTTTTATTATGTTATATTCTTGTATTATATCATAATATATGTACTCACCTGGTATTTGCAATTCTTCGCTTATAAAATAATAGTGAATTTTCTACAATACTAGAACTTGTCTACAATCTGAGAACTTGGACCAAGGCGCTCTAGCATTGTAGACATAAGGCTTTTCAAAATCTCTTGCCGTATTACCTTAAAGTTAAATTTGAGTTAACTTTTACAATTACGGCATAAGTCATCTGGATCCTAGAACTTATTATGAAGCATTGAAATCACAATATAAACTGTACCGGTTTCGGCATAAATTAACAGTTACGGCCATCATAACCAGCCTTAAAAGTTGAGTTTCTTTAAAGTTAAGGCATAAGTCACCAGCATCCGGAAACCCATTATGAACGAAAGCATTAAAATCCCAGTATCGAACTTTACCGGTTCTGGCATAAGTTAACAGTTACGGCCATCATAAACCAGCCTTTAGGGTGCTTTCACACCCAGATAGCACATGGACGTCCACAGGATGTCCAATGGACGGTCGCATCTGGACATTCGGACGTCCAAAGTACGTCCATTTAAGGCCCGTAGAATGTCCATTGGACGCCCATGGGATGTCCAAATGACACTGCTTTAGAGATCCATAGGACGTCCAAAATACATCCAACTTTGGATCTATTTTGGACCTGTTTTGGACCTATAACGGACGTGTTTTTAACAAATGTGTACCTATATTTTGGATAGGATTTTTAATAATTAAATATTAATTAACCTGTAGCGGTCGCAATACGCGATCCGGCACAAAATGGCAATCGGCACTGCGCGACACGCGTGCGGGCGCCAGATTCTGAGTAGTTCGGCCAAAAACTCGGAAGCAAAATCCAGTCTCGTAGGGTATAAAAGGAGGCCCGCGTGGAAGCCAGGGCAAGTATCCCGACAGGTTAACCCACTGGAATACTTGCCCTGGCTTCCACGCGGTCCTCCTTTTATACCCTACGAGACTGGATTTTGCTTCCGAGTT